CAAGTATTACAAAACACTGACCAGTAAAGATACTGGTAAATATCTTCTATGTTTAAAATTTCTATTTAAGATATGTAGAATTTGCCTCAAAAATCTATACATTTTTAATAATTTATTTTAGAAGATCCTTACTAGTATTAACTTAAGTCAATTCTGCTATGATTTAGGTCCTTACCTTTCAGATTTATTTTTAGCAGACTCTTTTGTGTTGACATTTTCAGACTTAACATACTAATTGTGCTGGAAAGATCAAGATTATATTACAGGTTTGCATCAGATTTATGTTCTAAATCTTACACTGATCAACCCTGCAATCCTAGACAAAATATCTGACCTTGCTAAATTTCAGTTTCCCAATACTTAATGGCAATACTAATACAAAAATGTTGTTTCTTACACATAGTATTTTCTTATACTTTAACATTTTTCTCACCAAATATACTATGCATATATTTGACTAACCTTATTTTTTACCTTAAAAACAATTTAATAAGAAAAAATTAAAATTTGGTTTCAATGACACTATTATCAAATAAATGTGAAATATCTTTCTCCAAACATTCCTAAAAAAGGAACATTAAAACCTAAGAGGACAGTTACTTGCTACTAAGAAAAAAACATGTTGACCTCACATTTCAGAAGCAGCTCAATTAAAATTCACATCTAAGTGCCTGATTATTTTGCTTTACTACCAATGAACATGAAATTTTTCACATTTACATAGGAAAATTTTACAAAGTCAAATAAAAGAACATCTACTTTTTCCGTAATTTTTTCTACAGCTTCATTATCTAGATTTTTAAAGAAAATTTAATGACTTTCTCCATGACAAATTTCTGACATGTTCAAAATGTTTTTTTTTTCAAAATATGTAGATACAGGGATTACTATTATAATATAACAACATAAAAAAATCTAGTATAAGCTTGTTTCAGGAAATCATCCCCTCAGTTATTTAAATTAGCAAGAACTTCTTTAGTCATATAGAAAAAAAGTATCAGTAATGATATGTTTTTAAAAGATATTTTATTTATGTAAGTTATGAATTATAATGCTAATATCTAGAATTCTTAAAACAGGTTATATTTCAGAACCACAGAATTTATTATATGATGAACTTAACTATATGTCATATCAGTATATAAAAAGCTATATAAAAACAAAGAATGAGTATTTCATATCACCTACAACCTTTTAGGTCAAAGGATAAATTTCTGAGTCATGATAAACACTAAAAATACATTCATTAATTATGGAAGCACACATATAATTCTTAACAACTTCTCTATACAGGGATAGCACTTTACATAATCAATGTTTTCTTGAAGTTAACACATAAACACACTAGAATTCACTAATTAAAAAAGTTGCTGGTAGATTCTTCTGTAAAACAAAGAATCCCAATTCAATAAATATTGTGTTCCTTCTCTATCAAACCAAAAATATCAGATTAGAGGGCCACGAGGATGACCCTCTGCATTAGAAACTGTTACAATCATTAGGGTTGGTAAGTATTAAAAAAAAAAAAAAAACTATACAGTAGCTCCCCCTATCTGTGGTTTCACTTTCCACGGTTTCACTTACCCACTATCAATTGTAGTCCAAAAATATTAAGTGGAAAATTCAAGAAATAAACAATAAATGATAAGCTTTAAATCATGTGCTGTTGTATCATGATAAAATCTCTCTCTTTGCTTCTCCATTCCTCCTTGGACATGAATAATCCCTTTATCCAGCATATCCATGATGACTATGATACCTACCAATTAGTCACTTAGTAACCATCTCAGTTCACAGTGCTTGGTTTCAAGTAAACCTTATTGTATTTCATAATAGCCCCAAAGCACAAGAGTAGTGATGCTGACAATTTGGATATGCCAAAGGGAAGGTGTGAAGTGCTTCCTTTAAGTGAAAAGATACATATATATATATAGGAAAAAACATAGTTTATATTGGGTTTGATACTATCCTATATAGTAGGTTTCAGGCACCCATTGGGAATCTTGGAAGGTATTCCTCGCAGATAAAGGGAGACTACTAGAATACAATCCTCATTGAAAAATAAGTAAGTTAACCCTGCTGTACATTAGTATCACCTAGAGAGCTTTTTGAAAAACACTAAGACTCAACTTCTACCATGCCTCCACTGCCAAGCCCCCAAGCAATTTTGATCCACTTATGGTAGGATCCATCATCAGTATTTTTTAAAAGGCCTCCAACTGATTCTAATGTAGCCTAAAAAAAAAAAGAAAGAAAAAAAAAAGAGCTGTATGTTTTATAGGGAGGCAATCCGAGTGTAAAAATTTAAACATACACACGTAAGGAAAGCAATATCCTCTTCTCTACCTCTCTCCCCTCACACCTCAAATCCTTGTTGCCATCTTCAGAGAAAAGGGGGAAAACTTGGATCTTTTAAAGAATGTGTACAGTTTAAGGTGAAAAAAATTAATAGAAGAGGCTATGGAAAGCAGAGGTAGTTTAGGGCAGAAGCCCTACAGGGCAAATCCACTGATAGGGCTATACTGCCTACACTGTGGTTTCTCCCACCAAATCATGGCATTTCGCCCACTTTATTTTATTACACTATCTGAAATTTCATCATTTATGGACTCATTCTTAACAACCATTTTCTTGCTAATACCACAACAACATCAGGTGGATTTAAGGAAGCAATGTTCTGATAGGGAAGATGGGAGCACAGATATACTGGAGTATGAAACACCTTGGGAAGCAATACATACCTGAGTGACTTAAGAATATTTAGTGTTCAAAGAGAGTTAAGTCAGTGAAAAGAAAGACAAATGAAAATATGAGCACCTGAACTAACTGACTTTTAGGATCTCATCCAACTCTGAGATTGTAAAATGCTATGAAAATACCAAGGACAAGCATCTCCTCCTCTTTTCCTCTCCTTAGAGTTCCTTCCTCCTAAGACACAGACCTTAGGCTAGTGCAGTCCATAGATGAATTTTATTGTCTATATTTTTAATTCTACCAACTACTCGACTACTTTTAGGATTATAAATCTTACTTTTAAGACTACACGTTAGTTATAATTTGAGTGTGTCTGGATTTTTTTAGGTAGGCTACAAGTAAATCTCTTTGGTAAACAGTAAACGTTAACTATACAAATAAACCTATCTAATGAGCTAAGAGTAAATTATATTATTACAACAGCTGTTAGACTGCTGACAGGAACCACAAAGATTCGACTTTAGCTTGAAAAGCATTTTAAAACCGACTCGGCTAAAACAATACTTACAGGCAATTTTAAGTATTGTAAGCCTGAAATGTTTACATTAAAAAAAGAAAAGCTGCAAATTAATGAGGTAAGCATTCATTACAAAAGTTTTAAAAGTTCCCCATGAAGGAAAAAAAGTATAAATTAAAGAACCATAAAATAAATACATAATAGAAAAGCAAAACTAATAGCTGTTCTTTGAAAATACCAATAAAATTAATAAACTTCTAACAGATCAAGAACAAAAGAAGGCACAAATTAAAAAAAGAATAAAATTGGAGACATAAGTATAGAAACTGAAAATATTAAAAAGGTAATAGGACACTAATGAAAACTTTATATGAATTTGAAAATCTAGATAAAATGGACAAATTCCAAGAACATGATCATAGCAAAAAATGACTCAGTAATTTACAAATATTTTAAACAACCTTTTCCATGTGAAATAAAAATCATAAATGAAACCCCAAACTTAACACCTGATGTGGATCTGTGTGAGGTATATTAGTATTAATGAGCATACAACACATTAATGAGCAAATCTGAATTTGAGAAAGTTGCAATTTTTCTATATTTCACTGTTTAAAAAATCAATAGCTTGACAATAAAAGCTGGTCTCTGGTATCTCCAAAATAAAGAATATTATTTCTAATAACAGTTATACGTAGTTGATTTAATAAAAAAAAATAAACAAGAAAATCATGGAATTACAAAACAGACCATATATATAACCAGAAATACTAATGAAATTAAACACTTCTATTAGCAGGAATTCCTTCCACACTTTCTAAAATTCCCTTGAGAATCCAATGAAAACTGTAAATGTTTGTTTCCCCCATAGAACTGCAAGCAAACACAAACTTTTGCATAAAATATTAAAGGCTTCAAGAATCCCCTGATGCCACCCATATATGAAATGAGTAGGAGTTTCAGATAAGGATAACTTCACGGTACCCGAGTCAATAAAGGTTAGCATAAAAATAAAAATATTTAAATGTCATCTCTGTGAAATCAAAATGAAATGCAAACGCTGAATTGAAAATAATAAATTGAGGCACCTGGTTGGTAAACTTTTCAATGGAGAAGCTTAATTTAAGTAATATGAATCAAATCAAAAGAAAAACACGGGTCTCTAAAGAAACATATCCTTTGAGATTTACCTGAAATGAAATCTCTCATTAAACTTCCTAATTCTACTGCTTACAAAACCAGAGCACTCTGTACCTCTCCCACTGCACTTATGTTCCCGACATGTATCCCAGACATCTGAGTACATGCCTTTTCCCTTCACAGAAATTTAAGTCATTCCATGGGAAGTTAATAACCTCACTTCAGTTTTCCTGCGGTCCGTATGCATAATTGATTAACACGACCACTGAGATATCAGATCAGCAAAGGAAAAAGGGATCTTGGGAACGCAATGCTTTTTGGTATAGTGGCAGGAATACCTTGAAATAGTAGAACTGCTCTTAAAAGAACATGAATGAATCATTTACAATTAATGTTACTGTGCTGTTCAGGAGAAAAAAAAAGTGGAGAAGTAGACTATGTTGTGGTATGGCAGTGAAAACAAAGGCAGCTTTGTAAAATAAGTAAAGAATAAATAAATTCGGCATGTGGATGAATAAACGAAATAAAGAACCTCCAACTTGGGGGCTATTTTAACAACAGTAATAAATGAATATTTTTTATCTAACTACATTTAAGACTTTTTAGGGTCCGCTGGTTTGTTTGCTTAAGATATCAAAAGCAATTTTACTTGTGAAAATTTTCATCAGTTTCCTCCAGATGTAAGAGGATCTCTTCGGCGCACTCTAGGGAGGGAGCACCGGTGATCTTCTCCTTCACGCTCTGGAACAATTGCCTCAGCATTGCCTGCAGCATCGTCTGATCCTCGCCAGAGAAATGGGCCATCCTCTGTCAAAACCAAACGCCCACGTTCATTACTCCGGGTCCAAGCACACGCTGCGCACTGCGCAAGCGCACCCCCACCCAGGCCCTGCCTGCGCGCAGCGCCGTTCCCCAGGAGACGGCGGTAAGCGCGTTGGGGTGGGCCCTCGACTCCCCGGGGCGCGTCGTTCGGGAAATCAAGTCACCTTACTTTGGTGAAGCAGGGGTCCGCGAAGACCTGCCTTTGGTACTCGTTGTTGCTGGCTTTCAATACCAAAACTAAAGATGCCCCGCAAGTAACCGCACACAAGATCTCAAGTTCTGATGGGTGGGCCTGACGGCTTGACGTCAGAGTTACGCATTACGTCAGCACGTTGGCGCGGCTTCCTAGGTGAGAGGGAGTGCAGCTTGACCTACGTGCATCTTGGAGAATCGGGTGTGGTCGTTCTTCTTACCCTCGGATCGTTGATGGAATGGAAAAGAGTACGAAAAGAAAGTGTCAGTAAAAGTCAATAGATATGAAATTGAAAGTAGCCTGAAAAGTTGCATTTGAAGAGTGAATGGTACTGAAATGTTGCAATGCTGTTTTCCTCTTAACAGCTAACACTGTTAACAAGATAAACCACGTGAATATTAACCAAAAGAGTTATAGAAGCTGTATTTATGTCAGCAAAAATAAAATTTAAGAAAAAAAAAGTCTTAGGGATATAACCTGTAACTAATTTTTAAAAATTGCTCAATTCAACAGGAGGATAAAACAATTTTGAGCTTTAAGCAAATTCCTTCTCCAAAAGTCTTAATTTTACAGAAAGTTTCTGTACATGTTCTTATAAAATATCCTTCCACTTCAAAGTTAAATACCTAAGATCTATATTTTTCGCATTTGCTTTTTCAGATTGCAAGAAAGAGGGAAATTAAAATTGCTTCAGCAATTGCACAACATTTATGAAGACCTGAAATATCATTTATTATTGTTAAAGATGCAAAAGCCTCTCCCAAAACTGCTGTAAATTACTTCTCCGCCTTTTGGCCAAGATCAAGTGCAAAAACTGTTGTAGCAACCTGATTACCTTGTTGGTCATACTGTAATAACCCTACCATTTTCATGACTCAGTTTGTCTCTTTATCATCTCTGCTTCTGCTGCCTGTGACCATCTTTTCTTGGTGCCTCCTGCATTCAAAACTCCCAAAGACCCTGTAGTGGATGCCATGGTGCACAGCCAAGATCTACCTTCAGGACAAAGTTCTTACTACCCTAACTCTTTGAAATGATGGCTGCTAACATTTCACAGCTGAGCCCCACTTCAGGAATTGCCCTGTAAGAAGGAAGCGGCATGCCCAAGGTTATGCTTCCTACCAGAAGGAGGCCCAGGCCTGCTGAATGGTCAGTGTAGGATCTAGTAGGCCATAGGCCATCCCTCTTATTTTAATTGGGACAACGCGGAAGCACCATCCCAGCTTCAGAACTCCTCATGTGATTCGCTGAAGCCTCTGTTACAAGAGCATTACAGTTGAAGTTCTCCATAGCCCTAATTTTGCTACCTAAACTCCTACCAGACATTATTTCCAGAATACACACTAATAAATATGCTTATAAATCTCAGATTCTAAGACCTATTTCCAAGGGAATGCTAGCTGTTACAGAATATGATTGGATCAATTATGTGTTATCCCACTATCCAATGTATGATGTTGAATAGGATGAGTTTCTGATGATGGCATCAACTTCTGTTCTTCCTATGTCTGTTCTGTACATGGACTTTTGCCAATGTGCTGATTTTTGTTCCAAATGTATGCGGCCACAATAGAAGGGTCAGTTGCTTAAAACATGGATTTCACGTGTTTAATCAAAAACAGAAACTAGTCTGTGAGCGTAGAAGGCGCTTGGGGCTCATGGACTTGCAATGAGATAGAAGATGCATGTTGTAGCCGTCGGCCCCCGATAGACACACGGACCACCAGAAACCAGTTCGTTATAGGAAACGTACTCTTTATTCAGCCAGCTGGGTCTGCCAGGGGTACGCAGACCCCAAATTAAGCTGCCCTGAAATGTAGAGGTATAGGGTTTTTAAGCCCTAAACCCCATTCTTCATCCTGTTTGAACACACAAGTCTATTTTTCTTCCTTTTGCTGTCAACCCACAAATCAGTTGTGCAAGCAGAAAGCTTATTGTTAAAATGTTATGTTCCCATGGGTGATAGCCTATGTTCCCATGGGCAATAGCCAAGCAGTAATTGTCCAGCCAGCACATGCAAAAGTCTAGCAAAGTCCTTGAATTGGGGAAATTGCTCAGTAATTGTTGGGTATGATTATTATTGTTGCCCATTTCTACAACTTTGGAATTGAGTATTTTCATAGAAATTGGCCAGGTCCAACTTACATTATCTAATAAGAAAATAAAGCATTTTAAATTTTCAAAGATTTGAAATTGGCTTTTTTTTTCCTAGGCAATAAATCAGAATGGAATCTCTAATTAAAGCCTTCTTTATCTTTGCAACACCCCATGTTAGAATGGACTTTGTTTTTTCCCAAATAGATATTGTCATTTTTTGAAAACCAAAGACTTAACTGATGGAAAATTCCTCCAAAAATCTGACAAAGTTTGGACATTTATCCAAAATATAAGTGCTTGGCATTGAAGGTTTGCTCCAAAGTCTGGAAAAAGAATCTGAATTAGTATAGGTATCTGTTTTTTCACTTATCTGGATTTTACTTACTGATCCCACCTAATATGAGCTTTTGTTTTACCTTCTCTTTCTATCCTTCTTTTAACAGGAAGCCAGAAAGAATCTCACTCTTTTGAAAGCAAGGTTATAGTACATTTACTCTCAAGTAACAACTTTGCTTTTGAAAATTTGACACAGTTTTAAGTACTTACCCAACTTTGAGGGCACATCCAGAAGTCTTTTTATATATGAACTGTAAATGACTATTCAAAGTAATTCCTGTAAATATATGGCATATGCTCTCTCATTAGTCTAGATAATAGCTAATAATAGATTAACAAGCAATCATTTTCAGACTTGGGCTCTACCTTCAGAGTTCACTTATATCTTGTATTAGTTTAGGTTACAATATAAGCCACTGTAAAAGAAAAGTGGAGAGGAGCACAGAGATACAGTATCTTAAGCAGAAAGAAGTTAATTTACCACTTACATGAAGATCCAGAAGTAGTCAGCCCAAGGCTGGTAGAGCAGTTTTGCCATCATCAAGGATTTTCATCTTTGGATCCAGGATGACTTCTCCAGCTTCCATGACAACATTTGCTTCTCAGCCAGTAGAAAAGACAAGCAGGTAAGGGCATTTCCAGAAAGTGAAGTGCATCACTTCTATTTACATCTCATTATTAAGAACGTAGTTACATGAACATGGCCACAGCAGAGGCCAAGAAGTGAAGTCTTTGCCTGCATAAGAAAAACTAAAATCTTCAATGACTAAGAGAAGAAAGGAAGAATGGATATTGGTGGATAGCTAGCAGTCTCTGCCACATATCCCTGTGGTAATGCTATCCTGACTTTCCAAGTTTACACATTATTAATAAATGTCTAGATTGGTCATGATTCAGGTCAGGAAACAGAAACCACTCTAGATTTTTTAAAGAAATACGGGTTTTCATGAGTTTACAAAATTGCTAGAAAAGGCAAGAGAAGAAGGCTCTAACCTGAGTTTCCAGAAATTATTCCTAGAGCACTCCACAACTGACCCTCCGGTAGAAATACATCTAAACTACCATAGAACTATTGCATTTGTGAACACAGGACAAGAGCCAAATTCAGGGATAGGAGGCCTAAATCTAGAAGCCTCTATGATCAGCCCAAAAGTCCATCAAATCCCACAGAGCCGTTTATTGGACACTGAAATATGGCCACCATCTCCACTGAAATTGCTTCAAATACATAGGAAGCTGGAGATAGGAGGATGGAATGTTGCTACAGAAAATGTCACATTTCCGTGACCATGTTTATGAGTACATTTACAACCGAATTATGCAAGCATACTTAATTTGCAGAGCCTAACTCACATCCATAACACTAGCTGCAAGGAAGTCTAAAAATGTCATTGATAGTGCTACAGCCTTTACAAAACAGAGAGGCACAGTGGAAGGAGTATGAATTTAGCAACAAGAGAGCCAATCTATAGTACTACTGTGGCAAACAGTACCATATATTAAAAAAAAAAAAAAAAAAAATCATCCGTGGACACAGCTGAGCAAGAATTCAATTTAAGCTCCCACAGCTAACTGCTGACTGGCTAAATATTTTTGTACTCATTCAACTAGCCAGATTCTATATATAAGTCTTAAGCTTATACCTTTGATATTGACCTCTCATTTTCTCATGTATCTATAACTACCTATTTAAAAAAAATATTTTAGTGTATGCTAAAAACACAATTAAATAATTTATAGGTTATCCATAATTTGCTTTTATTTGGTTTTGGTGGTCAGTATATAATTTCATATTCATATACATATTTAAAATCAAGAAATTTTAAGCTAATGGAATGAAAACAAGGTCAGCCAGTTCTGCTGTAAAGATACCTTTTTGGCAATAAAAGTATTTCTTTAAGATAAACATATAATCCTATGAAAAAGAAATAATAAAATATAAATCCAAACAAAATGCAAAATATTTCTTTATAGCATTATTTATAGTTATATATCACTAGCAATAATGAAGAGCTGATACATATTTCTAAGGTACTTTTTAATACACTAAGCACTATTTGAAATAATTAAAATAACACTTAGTTGGTGTACTTATATAGTATAACTGAAAGCTCAAACCAGAATAGTTACAAAACTGTATCATTTGGTGCCCAGCTTGACACTAGTAATAAATTTCAAGGCTCACACATTCCCTAATTAGCTCAAGTATTAATGTTCACTTGGGAAATAGGTTTAAGGAGTTTTTGTGTAGTTGATTCTCAGAAACATATGATCATCTAGATTACTAAGACTAGACTAAGATTATATATTTTATGAGAAGAATAAGACTTTAATCCTGCAGACAGTGGCTCCATTGGAAATTATTTAGGAAAGATAATGTAACCGATATTCTTTTTTACTTCCCAGAATCCTGTCCAATTGCAAGTTTGAGGAAAAATATCCAATTGTGCCTCTCATTTCCGAAGCCACAGTAGGAAGATTTTCCCTCTCTTAAACAAGGCCAGAAGGTACATGCAAGTAACACAGCTTGTGTCAATCAATTATTCTCACATGTAACTTTGTTGGTAATTCAATGAAAAAGACTTGCTATATTCTCTGCTTACTTCTCTAATCATAGGCTACTACAGGAATCTTTTTTTATCACACAAAATACATACATCACACATCACACCAGTCAAATGGAAAAAAAGTAAGTGGAACAAACCACAGGAAAGAACAAAATTAAAACAAGGATCATAAAGTATCAGATGCATAAGTATAACGAACATTGCCACCGGCCTTCTAATTTATAAAAACCATATCACCTCAAGATGGCAGCAATATGCAATGACTATTACTAGTAAAAATTTACTAGTAAAAATTTCAGTAACAAAAAGTTTTACTTAAATTCATGACCCACAGTACATAGTGAAAGGCAAAATAAATATAAGTAGCCATGCAGTTAATTTTTACTTTACTGTGAACTTTTTAATAAGATTGCTAATCCTTAAAATTTACTTTTTTGGGGGGATTGTTTTAAATATAAAAAATAGACAATAATACTAAAACAGATAAGTAAATTAATTTATAAAATACTTCTCTAAAATATTAAAAATTCCAATTAATGATGTAGTTAAACATTAAACTGAAGAAATTAAGCTGTTATGTAAAATAATAGACAAGAAAAAATCTTCAGCCATACTTGTAATCAAAATTAAAAAATGCAAGCTAAAGCAAGGTGATCATTTTAAATTTACAAAATTAGCAAGGTTTTAGAGAATACATAATTAGAGTTGAATAATATTCAATGAAATAGTTACTCTTTCATGGTATTATTAGGAGTGTAAATAAGGAAAATCTTCCTGGAAAGGATATCAACAATATGTATCAAGAACTTTTGACTCAGTAATTCCATTTCCAGGAGTCTATTCCAAGGATCAGAGATGCAGCTGATGGATTTATTATAAGAATATTTACAGACAGGTAATTTGTAACTTTAAAAAATTTTAAAAGCTCCTAAATATTTCATAGTATGTTGAAGGTTAAGTAAATTATATAGTACAGCCACACACTGGTAATGTCAGCCATTTTTTAAAAATGTTTAATGACAGGAGAAATATTCACATTTTAAATGAAAAAAGATTAAACTTAAGTTATGTATATTAATTCAATAAATTTATTGTGTGTCTATAATATGCAGTGCATGATTATGTGCTAGGTGATACACACACATACACAACTACAGTTAAAAATTTCTTCTACCATAATTGCAATATTAATATATATAATGCTGGACCTAAAAGTCTTATTACAGGGATGGTATAAGTATACTAAATCCTCATTCCACATAGAAGAAAACCAGTGAATTATATCTAAAGTTGATAAATTGGTTAATAATGGCATAGTTGTATTATATTAAATTAATAAGAAAACTATCAAGAAAAGTAAAAAACATTTGAATATCATTTCTTATGAGAAGTTGAAACTGCAGTGGGGTAAGGGCAGCAATTAAGCAGAGGTACTTGCTTTTTGTTATAAGCTCTACTATACAATTTGATTTTCATTAACATATTTTGTACTTTCATTTTATAAACATAATACCCTTTAAAAACCTCATAGTACATGGGAGCCAAATAAATAACACTCCTCTTTCTCAACCCAAGGTCAGAACTAAGGGAGAGATAAACAAAGGAGTCAGATAGCTGGAAATAAAACATCAACTTCATTAAAAGTTTAATTGAAGAATGTGACTTATGTATCTGGCACAACAAGCTTGCTGATATTTCGCCACTAAATT